GTGACTTCAGCCTTGCAAGATGATCAAATCAAGGCAATGCAAACAACACCAAGCTTTGGAAGAAGGACTGGTACAAAATAATCAACCCCAGAGACCGGAACAGTCCTTCCTCCCTCCTCAGCGATAAAAAATCTTCTTACCTCTCATAATTAATTTTGAGACACCAAAAAATAAAAGTAATTACTTAGTATAACTCATCTGAATATAACCTTTTCAGATTGTCTTATTCTATCTAATCTCTTTACCATTAAGTGTCTATATAATTAATTTTGAGATAAGTAATTTTCATCGACTCTTGTTTTATTCTTACTATCCCTAGATCAACCATAACCGCTATTTCCAAAACTTCTACTCTTCCGCATTTGAGATATTGCTTCGGATCCTCTGCAAATTAATCCTAATTTATAAACATCAAAAATTGAATAAACTATGTAAAATTAAATGAATGATCGGGTTTGATTTTAATAACCCTTCCATGTCTATTGACTGGATATAAAATTATCACAATCACTATATTTGATTGATCCTATCCCTACCTTTAGGGATAGAGGCCTAGGTGTTTCTTTACCGGCTATAACTATTCTCTAAGAATATAAGAAACCTCAAATAAACAAATAACAAAAAAAAGAATACTCCTTTCTCCTCCTTTTCCTTTTATCTTGTTGTATTTAGTCTTATCTTTAGTAGTAATATATTATTATTACTCTCTCCCTTGTCCAGCTTGATCTCTACGCGAGATCGACTGCTGACACGGTCTCTTTTAGCTCACACATCAGGGTTTGTATTTCCAATACCTTCCACATGTGTGCTCCATCTTAATTGGTGCTATGGATTGTCTTCCCAAGTCTTGTGTATGACCTAATGAGTATGGTTTCTGGCCTGGTCAAGAGCCTTTTAGATTACTGCCTCAAATGGAGGGTCCTGTGCAGAGTGCTCTCTATGGTAAAGTCTTGCCCATTGAATCCCAATCCTAGTGGGGGTAGAAGCAACACTGAAACAGATACTATACGATGTGTGTATCATGGAGAATTCTGCAAACCTGCATGGCCAACCAAACAGGCACTTTCCAAAGGATATGCTTATCTCCATGATTGTCCCAAGGGGTATAAGAGTAAGACTTCCTCTACAAAACCCTCTTATTTGTATTTGAAAATTCTTGAAAGATCCAGTTTTAAGCTTGAAAGAATTCCAAGTAGACAGGAATGTACTATTCCATCTCAGCTCTTGGAAAAATATTTATTTGCAATATTTTTGTCTCAAAACCAGTGCCTCCCCTGTTCTTTTAGTCAGTGATGATATGAATGTCAGCTTTAGAGCCAGCCAAGCTGGCCAAAAGACTGCTTAGTCCTCCTTTTTAGCCATGTTCCTACTGTAACCCTTTTATCTCAAGATTTTATTACATTCTGACCTCAGAAATGAATTCCTCATGTGATTTCAACCTTAGTCACCACTACACACTTTTACACTACTCTTCTCCTTCATAGACTTTGTAATGTTTCACCGTACCTTGTGAAATATCAACCAAGTTGGAATTCCAACCCTCTACCACATGTACATGTTGTGATTATGTAATCCAACTCTGAAAATTCTCTCAGAGGATACTGAGTTCGCATTTTCAGGATCTTCAGACTTCAGACCCACCCAGAACCAACTCAGACCAGAAATCAGCAAACCTCAACTTGGATTCACCGCCATGTCATCGCCGTGTTATCGTTAGGAGTCCCTCACCTATTGGAATCTTCCCACTCATTGTGTCAGGATCACCAATATGTAAGTCAGTCCTTCAAGTTCAGCTTGCATCTTTCTGCTAAGTTTCTTCGTTGTCTCTCTGAATGATTACTCCATTCTGTTTCTACTAAACCTCTGCCTCAAGCTTCATTACATCAGATCAAGTTGTTGGAATATGCTTATATCCCATATGTAGTATGCTTCTACCATAACACAACAACCGTGTATTTAGTCTATACTCGGATGCTTCTGGAGTTTCTCCCTTAGTGAATCAGAACCAATTTTTCTCACTCAGAAGTGTCACAAGACTTTTGGTCTGTGAACTTCAGTTCTTCATCCCCTGTCTCAACCAACACAAGTCATCGTCATCTTCTCTGTTTGGTGGTATAACTGAAAACCACATAGGTTTCCCTTTAAAGAACCTTGATCATAGATCTAAAAAATTGAGGTTGGATTGACATATCAATACCAATAGCCCTTCTCAGTTTCAGTTGAGTAAGGAGGCGTAGATTTATTCCGCTAAAATAACAGCCATCCTCTTAAGGAAAGTAAGACTGCATTAAGACTTGACTTTAAAATAAATAAACAACCAAAATATTATTCATCTCTTTCTCTTCCTCTTTCTCTTTCTTTTCCTCTCCTTCTAGTTGTATTTCCTTTATCCCTCAGAAATACATCTAGTATTGCCCCCCATCCTTGTGTCCTGCCGTCACTTTTGAGACCCAGGCTCACAATGAATTTTTGTCAAGTCTAATGAAATCATATTTTGGATAGGACATCAAAAGATCACTGACCCTCTCATGGGTTTCTGTTGGATGCTACACATTTCTATAGTTTCTCGTTTCTAATAGAAATTTATTTTTACTGGCTGGCATTATATCTCTCACTCTCAGTGTTCAAAAGCCTTGCCATTGCTTTGCGGATATATTAGGAGGGTTCAAAAAATGAAAATTGAAGATACAAAAAATCTTGCCTTGAGAAAGCTGGATTGTTTATAGATAATTTCCACCACCTCAACTTTACAGTATGATTATCAGGAGCAGGAACAGATATCAAAGATTTGGAAAATACAAAAATTATTGTATATATCTTGTGCTCTGAATGTGTAGGAAACATGAGGTATTATTTTAATTTATAGAAACTTTCAATAAATGATAATAGTAGTAAAAACAACTAGAGAGAGTTCAGGAAAATCCTATTGAGATTATTAGTAATCAAAAGAGAGTAGAAATAAGAGGAGAATAAATAACAACTAAATGAGAGAGTGAAATTAGTTGATAATTACCTTTTTATAGTTGATCCTTGTAAGTACTCTGAAAATACACAACACAAATTGGAGAGATAGATGGAACACAAAAAACAAGCCTGAAAAGAAGAAAGAAATATGAGAAAGAAAAGAAAGAAACAACTTGGAGATCAGGATCCAGGTTGAAGTTATTGAGAATTGAGGAAAGACATTTCTACCTCCACAGGTTATGTGGCCTAGCTCCTCCTGAGTATTGTTAATCTGAGTGAGTAGATGGTTTGGATCAAATGTCCAGTTTAGATGTATGATTGAAAGCAGATTAAGGGTTTTGCCAATCGAGTGATGAGCAAGATCTTTTTCTTGAGGTTGAGGGAAGGAAAAAATTGGATCACTTTCTGAGCCAGCTTCAACTTGAGTGAAACATTTGAAATTCAAAACTTTGGCTGGATCAGTCAGAATTACTCAGTCAACAGAATGGTGCCAGAGGTGGAATATGTAGATGAGTGGTAGTGGGTGCTATGGGGGAGGGGGAGATGCTTCCAGTCAAATGGCTGGACTCCATACAGCAAGACATGTCACTTTAGATGCAAGTATCTCCTTCAGAGGTTGCTACACAACTTCCTTGTGACCTTCTGTTAAGTTTGTCGCTTTCTGGGGTCCTGGCCTTTGTAGTTTTGGATGTCACTTGTTGTCAAGTGATCATTGATTTTCCCTCATGGTTGGTGTGTGGGCTTCCTAGTCATCTCTTTGGCCTCATCCATCATTGGGATATTGCTGAAAATTTCTTGGAAATTTTGGTTTCTTTGTTCACTGGATCCAAACCACAAAGGTTCCAAGGAATATGTAAATCACCAAAAAACAGAAAAAAAAAAAGTTGCCTTTCCAGCACGGAATCGTTCCTGTTAACTACGTGCAGCAATGTTGAAATTGAACAGCTCCTACCTATCTCTCTACATTCTGGCTTGGCGATTCTCAATCCCAAGACAGCCGCCGATTCAGAACACCAAGGCCTATTGGATCAGTGTCATGCAAGCTTGTTCCTTCCGAGTTCTGGCCCAGCCCAAGTAAATTTAACATTGATTCTGTTGACTCGGTTAAAAGACTACTTTCAAGCTCATGCAAAGGATCGCGTACATAAAACTGTTTGGGAAAAATTATACACTCATGATCTCATTCACGTCGCAGTGATTGATTTTTTCCCGCTGGAAGTGAGGTACAACACAATCACATCGCACAATCCATATAGAACAAGCTGTCTCGCGAGTCAGAAGATTGCGTTCGATTCTTAGACATCGGCGCAAGTTTGTTCTTGATGAGATGATTTGATTCGGAAGGGCCTTTGGAAAAGAAAGTTTTCGTTATAATCATGGTGTCCAACTCTCACTTCACGTGAGAGAATCCAAGGTTCAAATTCAAGTGGAAGCTGAAAAACCTACTGCTATGACCAGCTCGCCGAGCTAGCCATAAATATGACCCGTCCTGACCGTCTTCTGCCTTGGATAATCCCACTTCTCACTGTTCGTCCGCCATCATCCAACTCTCAATTATCGAATACTTACATGATGAATAAGCTAGTGAGTACAAACTTGAACAACAAGATTTATTTCCCGAAGAGAACATCCAGTGTCTTATCATCCTAGTATATTGTCACAGCTACTCTTCCTCATAGTCCTCTTTGCAGTCTCAATAATTGGAGATGAGGTGGATGATCATAGGAAGTGCCTAAGTGGTAAGCGCCTTTGAATTTCATTTTTCAAGCCATTTTAAGATTATACATTATAGAAGGCGTCGCTTGGAAACCAAAAGGAAGCTCACGCAAGCTTACATCTTTTGATTGTCTGTCTGGATCCTGACATCAGGATTCATTCACGAAGGTGAGCCGCACGGCGTAGCTTTTTTAGTGACTAGAATGTAACAAGATCAGGAAATCTTGAGAATCAGTTTTTTAGATCACATCTGTTGTTTTACATTTTTTTTTAAAAAACGGCCGACCCCTTCAGGAAAAACAAGCGGAAAATTGCTATCGATGAACGGTGTCAAAGTTTATGCAGCAAATCCCACCAGTCATGGCCGTGCAGGAAAACAATCCCGCTCCAAAGGCCAAAAGGCCATCTTGGTCTTTCCTGACATTTTTGGAATAGACTTGATAAACGTACAGTTGATCACAGACAAATTAGCAACCGACTTGAACACGCCCGCCTACTTAGTCGACACCTTCTCCGGTGATGACGTTCCTGATGGCCCTCAACCCAATCAGCTACCAGTAGGCTTTAATATCACCGAGTGGGGCAAGAAGCATGGCCCCGAGCAAGTTCTTCCGCTCATTGAAAACGTTATCAACAATCTCACTGCTCAGGGTGTGAAACGGTTTGCTGCCATCGGGTACTGCTTCGGTAAGTACCTCCCTTGTTGTTTTAAATCTCAGTGTAAACGTTAGCGCGACTGTGTGTTGGTAGATCAAGACTGAAGCGATTTCATTTTGGATTCGCATTGATCACATCACTTAGGCGGGAAATATATTTTCCTGAGCTCGGATAGAAATTGGATACAAGTAGGATCCACCTCTCATCCCAGCTTGCTACAAGTACCAGATGATTTTCTGGAATTGCGAGCGAAGAGCAAAGCTCCTCTTCTAATCAATTCAGGTGAAATGTGAGACACCTGATTTGTGTACTGTAGCTATATATCTTGACTTGAGTTCTTCGAGTTGAACAAGTTTGTCTTGCTTCTGTGAAACAGTGATTCACAATTCGGAGCTGAGGCACAGAAACAATCCGATGAAATTCTAGGTGATGGTAAAGTAAGTAGCACACTTGAGCATTATGTTTTTGTGATTACCTGGTTTTACTTGTTGATTGTGGATTTTTTTAACAATTATTTGTGCAAAATGGAAATAGTACAAGCCGGGTTATAAGAGAACCTATTACCCAGGCGCCTCTCATGGATTTGGCATTCGTGCTAACTTGGTAAGTTTCTTTACCTCTTCTTTCATTTAAACTGAAAGTCACAGTTTGACATAATCATTCCACTTCCCAACATCATCTGACTTGAAACAGAGCAACCCCGCAGAAAAACGGGCTTTCGATGACTCCTACAAGCAGATCGTGAAATGGTTCGATACCTACCTTTGAGGCCGACTTCAAAATGGATCAATTACACCAAGGGACTTTGTAATTCTGTCAATTAAACACACGCCTAACTTTTCTTAAACTCTCTTCCCTTGAAACTCTTGGTGAAAGTAACATTTAGGTCGCCATAAATATGGCGTTCTCATGTATTTCCATCTTGAGGCATTACCTCGTTTTGAATTCAGTCTTGCAATTTTGAACATCATTAAAGCTCCTCAATAACTCTTCACTAGCTGAGAATCAACCGGTTTTCGGTCTCTCAGAGTCTCACCAGCACGGACATAGGCTTTCAGAAGTCCGTCTCAGACTCTCTGCCCAATCTGCTACTTCCAAAGGCTGGTACGGCGCACTTTAGCATTCAAATACCAGAATAAACCTTCTGAAAGTAAAGAGATATCAATTCTGTAGAGTTTTGTTGAGTGTTCTGGGATCCAGTATCTCAGTGCAGTCTTCACGTTCTATTGCCTGCAGCTTTATTCTTTTTTTGCCTGGGTGTATTTCGTGCACTACACGATTGAAGTCAATTCCAACCAAATCCACCTTGACACCATCTTAGATCCAAGTCTGGTGTACTCTTCCTTATCACTAAATTAATACCTGTAGGAAATTTCTTCTCTTTGCATGGTTCCATGCAAGCAGGATTTTCAGATTTTTAATTCTGCTTGCCCTTCCGTCATCGATGGGCTATTATTGAGGGTGAGATTTTCGCTTTCACAGAGGAGTGATGATGGTGAATCACGCGCAAGAAGAAGTGGAACAGTTGCAATGTGTGGGCTTCCTTTTCATCTCTTTTACCTCATTCTCATCGGGACATCGCTGCAAATCGCCTGAAAATTCAAGTTTCTTTGTTTATTGGAACCGCAAACCGTAAAAGTTTCAAGACATGAATCATCGAAAAATAGAAATTAACTAGCTGTCTTTCAAATTCCAGCGCCGAATTTTTCCTGTCGAGTACGTGGCAATGATGAACACCTTCCACCTATCTCTATGCATTCTGGCTTGGCGATTTCCAATCCGAAGGCAGCCGCCGGTTCAGAAAAACCAAGGCCTTCCGGATGCTTTGGGACAAGCCCTTGCGAGTTCTAGCCCAGCCTACTAGCCTGAGTAAATTAACATTAACTCTGTTGTCTCGGTTAATAGAGCACTACTTTCAAGCTCATGCAAAGCATCGGGTACACAAAACTGTTTTGATAAAATTGTACTTTCAGGATCCCAGTCAGTTCCTAAGGATGGCTGCTTCCGTTGGAGGTGAGTTCCATGATCACAAATGACACACCCCGCATTCCAAATAGAACGAGCGACCTCGCGAGTCCGCGAGTCATAAAAATCCGCTCAAGTCCTGGATATCGGCGCAAGTTGGCGCAAGCTCTTGATGAGATTTGATTTGGAAGGGTCTTTCGAAAAGAAAGTTCTTGTTATATTCATACAGTGCCCAACAAACACTTGAAGCGAGAGAACCCAAGGCGGAAATGGAAGCTGAAAAACCAGTACCATGATTGGCTCGCCAAACTTGTCATAAATGCGGCCCGTCTCCTGCCTTGGTTAATCGCACTTCGCACTGTTCGTTCACCACCATCCAACCAACAAGTGTAAAAAGCTTACATCATGATTAAGATAGTGAGTATCTACTTGAACAACAATATTTACTTCCTGAAGTGAACATCCAGTGACCCATCATTCGGGTACCTTGTCAAAGCTCTCTTTTCTCATCGTCCTCTTTGAAGTTTCGATATTCGCAAAAGAAGTGGATAATCATAGCCGGTGTCTAAGTGGTGGGAGTCATTGATTTCATTTCCAAGCATTTGTAGGATTATATATGGAAGGCGTCGCTTGGAATCTTCAAACAAACTCACACAAGCCTACATCTTTTGGTTATCTGTCTGGATCCTTACATCAGGATTTATCCACGAGGGTGAGCCGCATGGCGTAGCTTTGCAGTAGTTAGAATTTGACGAAGATAAGAAATACGTCGAGGATGATCAGTGTTTTTGACCACCTCTGGTATTTTACATTTTTATTAAAACGGCCTGGCCCTTTCAGGAAAACCTAGCGGAAGAATACAATCAATAAACGGTGTCAACGTTTATGTAGCAAATCCAACTAGCGATGACCGTGCAGAAAGCCAATCCAGCGCCGAGGGGCAAAAGGCAATCTTGGTCTTTCCTGACGTGTTTGGAATAGACTTAATAAACGTACAGTTGATCACAGATAAATTAGCAACCGACTTGAACACGCCCGCCTACCTAGTTGACACATTCGCAGGTGGTGACATTCAACCCAATAAGCTACCAGTAGGCTTTAATCTCACTGAGTGGCAGAAGAACCATCGCCCCGAGCAAGTTCTTCCAATCATAGAAACCGTCATCAAAAATCTCACTGCTCAGGGTGTCGAGCGCTTTGCTGCCACCGGGTATTGCTTCGGTAAGCACCTCCCTTGTTGTTTCAAATCTCATTCTGAGGGCGATCACGACTATGTTTTAGTCAATCAAGACCGAAGTGATTTTGTTTTGGTTTCGCATTGGTCACATTGTGCAGGCGGGAGATACGTTTTCTTGAGCTCAGATAGAAATTGGATACATGTGGGATCCACCTCTCATCCCAGCTTGGTCCAAGTGCCAGATGACTTTCTGGAATTGCGAGAGAAGAGCAAGGCTCCACTTTTGATCAATTCATGTGAAACGTGAGTGAATCAATTCACGTGTGATATCTACCTTCCAACTTGAGTTCTTTGAGGTGAACAATTTTGTCTTGCTTCTTTGAGACAGTGATTCACAATTCGGAGCTGAGGCACAGAAAGAATCCGATGAAATATTGGGTAATGGACAAGTAAGCAGCACCTCCTGAGCGTTGTGTCTTTGTGATTACCTGATTCCACCAATTGAATGTGGACATTTTCAACAATTATTTGTGCAAAATGGAAATAGTACAAGCCGGGTTATAAGAGAACCTATTACCCAGGTGCCTTCCATGGGTTTGGCGTTCGTGCCAACTTGGTGAGTTTCCTCACCTCTTCTTTCATGTAAAGTGAAAGCCCCAGCTTGATCTCAAAAGGTCACTACCCAATATTATTTGATTTGATTCGAAACAGAGTAACCCCCCAGAAAAACGGGCTTTCGATGACTCCTATCAGCAGATGGTGCATTGGTTCGATGCCTACCTTTGAGGCCGACCTCAAAATGGATAAATTGCAGTAGTTAGGGACCCTGTTAGCTTTGAACTAAGCACTTCCAGCAGTTCTCTTCAACCTCTGTCTTCGTGAAATTCTTTTAGTAAAATCAACAGGTCGCCATAAACATGGTGTTCTCTTGTGTTTTCAGTTCGAGCTACTCGGACTATCTCGCTTTGAAGTGTGTCTTGCAATTTTGAATGCAATCAAATATTCTCAATATCTCCTCTGTGGAGAATCGGCCGGTTTTCAGTCTCTCCCCGCCACGGGTGCAGGATTTCAGAAGTGCATACGCCACAGGTCAATTCCTAGCAAAGGCTGGTCCAGCGAAAAATAGTAGTTTAGTGCCTAAAGAAACCTCCTAACAAATACAATCAATTTTGTAGAGGTTTTTTCAGTGTTGTAGGAGCCAGCAGCTCAGTGCAGTTAATTTTCGCCTTGTATGTATTACCTGGGGCTTTATTCAAAAACTGATTCTTTGCTTGAGTGTCTTTCGTGCACAAAAGCATTGAAGCCAATTCTGAATAAATGGTTCGTGACACCATGTTAAATTCAAGCTTGGGGTACCCCTACTTATCACTAGGTTACTAGCTTTTCTTGGAGACGCGTTCCACCTGATTTGACCACCTGCCAGTTGTGATCGGGGGTTTCACTTCTATGTAATTGGACCTGCGCAAAACACTCTTCGAGACTTTAGTGTGCGGATGATAAGTTCGGGACTGATTTCCATCGTTCATGGCCAGTAAGATAAAAATCGATAGGCTCTCACATTGCAAACTTCAACATATAGGGCCCCCAATGTGGCTCGGATAACACGACCTTTCAACATGAGATGAGAAGTACCATAGAAGAAGAATACAAATGAATCAATATAGGGATGATGGCTTTGACTGTTGATGATAAATTAATGTTTCATGATCATACAAATAATCTTACAACTTTCAAAGATCAACGAGACATTAAGGCTGAGAATTCTCGATAAATAAAGGAAGGGGAAGAAGATACGCAATCGGTTCATACTGATGTCTAAATAACTGAAGATAATCAAAAGAACTAGCCAGAAGAAAGAAGGAGGAAAGAAATGAAAGGAGGAGGGAAGGAGGATCAGAATTCGACATTGATTGGTATGAACACATCTCTTCCGCCTGTGATTGATAGGATCACAACATCCGTCAAATCGTCTGTTCCAAGTTGACTTCGTCGTCGATTGGCTCCAATCGGGTCGATTGCGAAATGGATTTGGGTTGATTCACCTAAATAGACAGAGAGGTCCAAACCAACACGTTCATCCTTCACATCCTACCCACGCTGCCTCGTTCTCCAACAACAAAAGAAGCAAATGAATGAGAAACTAACCTGCAGATAGATTGCCAGAGAGCTGACTAATTTTTAACCAATCTTCGCACACGCTAGATTCCCCATTCTTGGGAACCAATTGCCAAGCGACCAAGAACTTCTTAGGATTAGTGAGTTCAATAGAAGAGCCGACCAGTTCGCCCCCATTAATAACGAGATTGGTATTAGCAGTCTCATCTTCAGAAGACGTGTTGAGGAAGTTGAATTCGATCCCTTCGGGTGTGACTTTGAGGTCCGGCAACGCCTCGTTTTCCAATCCATCCAACTCTCGTAATAATTCATTTTGCATCTTATCCCTCTTCTCTTTCAGGATCGTGTAGATCTTCATCGTTAAGGTCGAGGCCACTGGTTTGTGATCACTCAAAGTGATCGACGGATAACTGTCATACGAGAGAATCTGAATGTCATTCACTCTTCCCGGTAAATATAAAATCCTATCCGTGTAAGCAGGTATCCGCTGCTTTTCACTGATCAAACAAATGTGAATAATATCCAAACAGCATAGAAGAAATCAGTATGCATCGGCGAGCGAAATCAGCCCGATTTAATCAGTTTGTTTTCTGCATAATATGATGCGAACCTAGTGTCAAAATTATTTGTTCCAACATCGAACTTGTAGGTTGGTTTGAACTCAATGCTACCTTCCTGAAACTGATGAAATGCCTTTCCAGCTTCAATCTGTTGCTTGAGTTGGTCGAATGATAACAGGGTACTACAATCGTCAATTGATGGGCTTTCGGCCAAAGCCTTTGCTTCTGCGTATGTGGTGTTCAAGCGGTAGTTGAGATCACTAAAAGCAAGATTATTTGCCCGAGGGTTCTTCATGGTGAGTAGGACTATCCCCAGTTCTGACCGAAAGCTGAAGGAGGCAGAGGGTTCTTACCCGGCCCAAATTAAGTGCCTGAGAACAAAAAAAAAACAGTGTATTAGACTCAGTGGCTCGAAAAACAGATCAAGAATTGCTCAGTGATTAATCCGTGAGAGCAAACGTACCCTGTCCGGAAGATATCTGCATTGGGCGATGGTGCAGTGGGGCCTTCACCTCCGAACCTCAACTGTGGAATTGAAACCATTGATCGTGGCGGACCAGGACGGGTGGGAAAAGTAATTCTTCGACAGATCTCCAGATAGTCCCGATTTCTGGCCTCATATTGCTCTTGGAAAGCAGCCAGATGACTGTTGATCAAGGTCAAATAAGTGTCACAGACTCTAGATGGGATAAAGAAGGCGAATATCCAATTATTCAGTTACAAGGTCTAGCATACTCAAACCAAAAAAGGAACAATGTACTTAAGACGAACCGCCGTCGCACCCTTGTTACCCATCCCTAATGTTCCCGTGCCGAGATAGGTGCTTGAAACATTAGAAATGTCTTGGGCAATGCTTTCATCTACGTACGCAATGATCAACAGGCCAACAAGCTGCTGACTGGAAACCTTGATCACCTTCTGTATCCCTGTAGACTCAATGGACTTTTGTGCCACTTCACACCAAAAATTCTCCCGTTGAGGGGTGTATCGTATATAAGCTTCTGGCGTATCATCTATTTCTTGTAAACTGGGGGGAAGACAAGAATGCGATCATGAAAGCTCGTGTTTTTGATCAGCAAACTGGAATTGTATCCTGTACAGTGGGTAGAAAGTTCTTCTGGGGCGCCCTATAAGTTCACCACTTGACACATACCCAAAACACCTTTCTACCCACTGTCCAGCCTCCAACAACCATTATAACTCTTCATGAGATACGAGGTCTTAGACAACTCACCAGATGACATAGAGATCAGATTTATCCCTGTGTTTTTTTTGGTATGATCCAATCTTGAAGGCTTTCGGTGGGGTGTTTACCAAAGACATTCCAGGTGCAGACCCTTACTCTGATCGATTGAAGGCCAAGCAACAAATGTTAAATTTCT